CTCATGCTGTCTGAAATGCATAGTAGTGTGTGAAGGTGAGGTGACATGGTTAGGTCATGTGACTAACGGACAGCTGTAGATAGCCTGAGACACTGTCTTTGCAAATGTTCAACAGTTCTTAAAGCGCACGGTGGGATTATGGCTGAATGAACAAGGGGCAAATAATTTCCGGACACCCTGTAGGTCTAGGTCGACTCTGACTCCGGCTCCGGCTTCCAAAATCGACTCCTGACTCCGAATCCGGCTCCAGTTCGACTCCGACAATCCGACTCAAAGTCCGGTCCCGACTCCATAACCATGCGCCCTGGGACCCATACAAGCCTCCCTGGTTTCGGCCCGCTTTTCCTGGACGTGACCTTATATCACTATTACTTTAAAATGCGACATATTTTCAATTTTTCGTGCGAAAAGTGCTCGCGATAGCTTTTTGGGCGTTATAACACGAAAAAATGCCACCGGAAAGCCCGTAGTAATGCTCTATACATAGGCCGGCCGTGGCGGGAGCATCCCAGTGACGTCATCCGGGGCCGGTAGGGGGAACGTAAAAAATCCCTAATGAACCTACCTGATATATAGGGCCTTGGGAGGAGCGATCTGCCGAAGAAACTCCGACTGCAAGCTTGATATGGAACAGACTATAGTCATTTCTCCATTTTACCAACATTTTTCGACAGATTTCGCCAAAATGTTCACAGTATTTTAATGTCAAATTGATGCAAAAGAATGTAGGTACTGAAAATTTCGTGTTGACAGCTTACGTGGTTCATGAGTTATCGCAAAAATCCGGGAAGAGGGATGGGGGTAATATTTACCTCCCCAACTGAAAATAGCGCCGCGCGGGTTAATTATGGCAGACTTATTGATAACGTTAGAACAACACATTGCGTGACACCGATTCCCGTCTATCCCATGCCTGACATTTCTCTTTGCCTTTATACATAATACCTATCCCACTGGCCATGGGTTTCCGCACTCGCAACTCACAAATGAGGCCTTCTGGCCCTCACTACAGCTTTTAACGTGGTCATTATCAATAATTACAGGGTGTCCCAAAAGTAACTTATGTCACACCCTCCCTCAACCATCATTTTGTCTCATATAGCGCAATTTCAGTATAATTTTTCGGATACCAGCTCTCAAGCTATATTGGTTACATTCTAGTCACACGACCTTCGAATTTTTGTGACCCTGACCGGTCAGGGGTGAGCAGAGGTCTTTTCCAGGGCAGTACGCCCGGCGCGCGCGTACCGTGTCCAGGACGGCAAAGCCGCAGAACAAATCGACCCGTAGCAAGGCAGTAGGCATGGTTGCCGGCGACATGACCCACAGCCAGATCGCAGAGGCACTGGGCATGAGCCACCGCACGATTTGGCGATGGTTGCCACGCGGCAGAGGCGGATAGACAAGAGGCGGCTTACTTGAGAGCAAGGCGGGTCGCGACAGGATGAGTTTCGTCGGCCGGGTAGCGCAAATCGTCATCGCGAAGCGCGGTGCTTAAAACGGGCCAATCCACAAGGAAACTGGCAAGAAGGCTGACTGCCAACGGTTCGTTTCCAAGTCAACAATCCATCGACACCAGAGGTTATCTCTAAACCTGAAGCCCTCCAAGTCACGTCTCAAGCAGTAAACTTCTGCTGAACATGTCCAGAGCCATCTTTCATCAAGACGGCACCCCGACTCAAGTGGAGCTAGAACGACGCAGGATCGATGTCGATCGTACTTCCCGGCATTCTGGGAGAAGGACAAATTGCCGTGGAATAGCCCCGACCTGTCGCCGATAAAAAATATCTGGGCGATCGTCCGGTAAAGGCCTTAAGCCCTTGTTACACTGCCGAATTTTGGTACACGAATGTGCACGAATATGCAAGTCATCCTATGTCGCGGACCGATTCGGGATCTTTCTTCCACGGTCTTGGCATTTCGCAGACCAGTCGGTGTCCACCGCGCGACTTTTACGGTTCGTCACGACCGCCACGAATATTTCATGACAAATGAAAAATTCGTGGCCGTTCGCCGAACTTATAATAAACGAACATGATCGCCAAACAGTCGCCGAGTCGCCGCCGACATGTCGCTGCGTGCGTCGACTTGTTGCCAAGGTATCGCCGACTATTCGCAACAGATTCGCCATTCATTCGCGATGTTCGCCGATTCATGGATCAGCTTCGACCCGCGCACGATTAGGAGGGCCCCCCAACCGTTTTCTGCAAATCGGGCTCTGTCGGCGAACTGTTCGCCTCTGTCGGTGAACTGTTCGCCGATTTGCTACACGACGTGGTTCGGCGACAGGGTCGTGGCCAAAATTCGGCAGTGTAACACGGCCTTTACACTGCCGAATTTTGGCCACGACCCTGTCGCCGAATCACGTCGTGCAGGAAATCGGCGAACAGTTCACCGACAGAGGCGAACAGTTCGCCGACAGAGCCCGATTTGAAGAAAACGGGTGGGGGGCCCCCCTAATCGTGCGCAGGTCGAAGCTGATCCATGATTCGGCGAACATCGCGAATGAATGGCGAATCTGTGGCGAATAGTCGGCGATACCTTGGCAACAAGTCGGCGCACGCAGCGACATGTGTGCGGCGACTCGGCGACTGTTTGGCGATCAATTCATGTTCGTTTATTATAAGTTCGGCGAACGGCCACGAAATTTTCATTTTTCATGAAATAATCGTGGCGGTCGTGACGAACCGTAAAAGTCGCGCGGTGGACAACGACTGGTCTGCGAAATGCCAAGAACGTGGAAGAAAGATCCCGAATCGATCCGCGACATAGGATGACTTGCATATTCGTGCACATTCGTGTACCAAAATTCGGCAGTGTAACAAGGGCTTTAAGCCCTTGTTAAGCTTTAAGAGGGGAGCAATGGCACGGGAACATCCGACGGCACGCTGACCAGCAACGCTCGATCTGCTTGGTCCAAGCTCAGTCAACAGAAGCTGGACAAGTTGATGGTGCCGGACCGCATTCTTGTTTGCATCAGTGAGAAGTGGGGATACATATGTAAGAAAAGCGCAACCCTCATTAGATGAGTCAGACATTTCGTTTTTCTCACAGACAATGACAATACAAAAAACAATGTAATAAGACCAGACGTTTCGACAACAAAGTGCCTTCGTCAGTGGAAAAACAAGATATAGGCTTTACATCGATAAAAATATAGAAGACGACCAGCCTGCACGAACTACAGTTTTACTTTTTTGAAATACAGGTTATATCTAATCTCGCACTAAAATGTTATATCGTTCTTCTGTCTAAACTATTCTGTAAGTCATAATCACAGCATTGGAATTGACACATTGACACATTGTAACAGAGACACTCCTATAGATATAGCCATTTGTTTTTTAGCACCATTTTCGCACCTATCCTGGACCAGCTGTAGAAGCCTGGTTTTATGTTAACCCTCGCCCCGTTGGGGGGGCCATTTTGCCCCCCCCCCCTGTGGTTTTTCCTGAATAGCAAGAAAACGGCGGCGCGCAGCGCCGCCAAATTTTCAGTACCTTCCCGGGCATCAATTTGACACCTTCACACCAAATTTCAAGTCTTAGCTCACCTTAGGTCAGGAGTTATTGAGGTCAAACTGAGGTCATGTTCGAGCAAAAATGAGCAAAAAACATGCAATCTTTAAACGCTCACCAAATCTACAGTTATCAAGCAATTTCAAAGTTCTTTATATGGTCTAGCAGAGAAAAAGCAGCGCTACAAAACTGCCATCTCGGATTTTCAAAATTTTGGGTTTTTGACCCAAAAAATTTAAAAAAATTGATTTTTTATAAAAACTGAAAAAAAATCCAAAATTTTCCGAATTTCGAAAAAAACCGGAATATATGTGATAGTCCCTGCGCTCTTATATATACATACCAAATTTCAGATCGATATCTTGTTTTTTGGCCAAGTTATAGCGAAAAAAACTGTTCAAAAATGATGACGTCAACTTTTTGAACTCAATTTTTAGCGATTTTAGACCTCGTACGGCAAAACAAAGACCACCATTGAACTCCCCGTGACGAGCTGCGTCGATTCGATATCCATTTTATGCAAAAATATCAACTTTGAAATTTGACCTAATTTGACCTGACCTTGACCTGACCTTGACCTGACCTTGACCTGACCTTGACCAAAACGTTACCTAAGCTGGCCCAAAGGCTGCCTGACCCACATAATCGCATTTGTCATGTAAAGTGGACCATAAAACACGTATCACACGACACTTTCATATTGTGACCCCCCAGTGACCTGACCTCTGTGACCTGACCTGGTATCAGTGACCTCAACTAGCAAAATATGTGTTTGAAGAACATTTCCCCATCGATGATTTTCAATGAAATGCATTTTACTCGATTTTACAACGCATTTCTTGAAATGCCTGTAAACGGTGAAAATTGGACCTTTGGCCTGACCTGTGACGTCATCGGTTTGACCTAGGTCAATAAAATTGGGTCACAAGGTAGTTCCCTGATAGGGCTATCCAACACCGTTTGCCGCTTGTCGCTAGGTTGCGTGGTTCTCGAGATCTTAGGGGGGGGCCAAAATGCCCCCCCCCCCCCAACGGGGCGCGTTGCTCGGCAGAGCCCAACGGGGCGCGGGTTAACAGTGTCTTCAAGTAAAATATATGCAGCTTCCATGGCTCTCCTAATCGGTTTTGGCATGCCCTTTTCCATCACTGTAGCTGAATCCCAAGCTGGAAGATGATGACACTTTTCTATATGAAGCACCGTCGCATTGGATACATTATGATTTCGAACATCACGTTTGTGCTCTTGAGCAGTAAACAGTCGGAAACGTCGGAAAAAAATAGCAACCCTCATGTTTGCTATTTTCATGCAATGGACGCTGGAAAGGTGTGACATTATTTTTGGGACACCCTGTATCACATGGTGGGCAGGAAAGGACGGACATACGAGTAAATGTGCTACTATAGCACCTCGACTCTAATGCTGCGATGATGCACTGCAGTGGTGCTCACGGAGCCACTCAGTCCCCACGCTGCGACAGCACAGCTAAGACTTGGCTCCTGGAGGTACGCGGCCCCCTATGCTGCGGTACTGCAGGTAGAGTCGCTGCTCGGCGAGCCTGTAGAGTTCGATATCAGCCCAAAGGCGACTCGCCAGCTCTTCTTCTACAGCCGCTGTGGCCGGTTCGTGCTGGTTCGTGTTCGATTTCACTGAAATAAAGTCCGGCATCAGGTTATTCTGCTTCGAAAACCTTTGAAAGACTAAATACATGTTGTTCGACAGTTCTCTTTCACAATAAATATTAGTCGTGAGTTTAATGATAAAAACATAATAGTATACACATTGCACAGGTATACACTATGCGCGGTAAATAGAAGACTGCAATACCTATAATGTAGTGTCATAACCTGTATATGTAGAGCTATTCGAGAGGAAAGTCCAAGGAACTAATATGCTTACAGGGAGATTTGTCAAATAGTTTGACAGCATTTCGGAAGTACATAGGCACGAAGGCTTGAAAGACTTGCAGAGATCTGTCCAATGTCTCTAAGATTCCAACGACCGCGTACTTCTTCTCCAGGTTCTCGAGTGCCCTCTGCAGGGCTGCCCTGTTGTTGAACTCCCTGGAAACAAGGCGATCTTTTACTGGCAATGTGTGGAACCGGGCATTCTATAGAATGCCTGTTACGTAACTAGAATATGTTAGGTCTGGACACAAAGTCAGGCTTTTGAAAGTCACCACTGATTTCCTAATATCAAATATTTCCTTTTTTGTGCATTTACCTCGTATATAATACTGGTAACGAATAAATAAGCCGCAACCCGTTCAGGACATAATTATACGCTGATTGTTCGCCTGCGAACACCTAGCTAGACCTACAGGATGTCCGGAAATTATTTGCCCCTTGTTCATTCAGCCATAATCCCACCGTGGACCTAGCTTTAAACTTTAAGAACTGTTGAACATTTGCAAAGACAGTGTCTCAGGCTATCTACAGCTGTCCGTTAGTCACATGACCTAACCATGTCACCTGACCTTGACACACTAGTGTTTGGCAGGCGTAACTCGCACCTGAACGTGGTGTCTACTATGACGAAACAAACTCTTTGACAAAGCGTCATCGTGCTGAAGTTATGTTGAAGACTGGAATGAAGTAGGAGGTCAAATCCTGTGGGGAATCATGAAGGAGGAGCTCAGCAAGATTGAACAAGCTCCCACAGAAAACGGACTTTAGAGGAACCTGTGAAATGTGTGGCTGAACATCAGCGCGGATACTCTGGACATCTTGACCAATGGAATGCCAAAGCGGATGAGGGAATGGGTAGGACAGGGCAGGGGATAAATCGGTAAATAAACCATGACCCGGGGCTCTTTATTTATAAATTATGGTGGCGAGCTGATGGAGGGGCAAATAATTTCCGGACACCCAATAGGTATATAGTATATATACAGTAGCTATAGGGCAAATGTTCCATTAGCGACCCTTCCCGATTTCCGACCCCATGCCATCACAAGGTGATGTTGAACGTTCATTGTGACATGTACATATGACTAGAGAAACTCGTTTAAATATTAAGATGCTGTATTATAGAAAGCCTTTGCAAACGCGTTACGAACATATTATCGTCGTCAGCGCAAGCTTTCCATAATACAAAATAAAAAAGATTTTGTATAATGGAAAGCTAGCACTGATGAAGATGATATGTTCAAAACGCGTTTGCGACAGCTTTCTTTAATAAAGTACCTTTATATTTAACCCTCACCGGCCGAGAGGGGGGGCGGGTGCCGCCCCCCCCCCCCATAGGGTTTTTTTCGCGATAGCTCCGAACACGCTGACGATAGAGAGCTGAAACTTGGCATACCTGACCTTTGATTCAAGCCAGATCTTTTGACACCAACCGCATTTGTGGGTCAAGCAGTTGAAAGCGGGAAATGGCAACGAGGAGAAGGTTTTGTAAAAAATCGCAGCTAATGCATTGAGCATTAAATGAAGAAAATATTTAACCCCCTCCCCACCGCCTCAGGCGATCACGTGCTGTCACCCACCTGGTTTCAGCATGCATGTTAATAACTTCCGAGTAGGTAAATGTCCGAAAAGAGTCGTTAAACCAATACCTCATTCACGCTGCCTGTGAACAACACAGATCGCAAAAAGGGACCAACTTCTCTTTTTGCGTTATTTTTTGCAAGCGGTTGCGAGATTTCAAATGCTGACGACCGTAACTGTGAAGGGTACGTGCAGACTAAGAATGAATATGTGTAGGACAATGTTCAATCAGTACGGTATAAAAAGACTTTCGCTGTGCAAACGAACCGACAGGCTGTGCTGCAGCGGACTACAAGCTTAGGGGGTCGCGAATTGGAGCATTTACGCTACATACACCTACCTACACCAGACACCTACATTTAGCTAAAGGCATAATTACGTGGTCAACGTTCTTTGTTCACCCGCATACATACAGGACATAATTATGTGCTCACTATTCACCTGCATAATACAGGACATAAAGATGTGCTCATTTGTTTCATCCGCATACAAAAAGGACATAATTATTTGCACATTGCCCTCACCTGCATACCGCCTCGTGGCCACAAAAGTAGGACGTCATGGGGTGAAACACTTCATTACCCTTGGGGCCCTCATGGTGGTATGTGTCTGTCATGGCGCATTCAGGGTCGCCGCTCATAACGCACTCATTCAAGTTCTTGTTGAACCTGAAAACAGAAAATCTGTCATTGAATTGAAGTGGTCGAACAAAACACTAGCATAATACAAGCATGCATGTATATTTGTGCTTGTTATAACCAGACATGTGCATGGATCCGAGAAAATGGATCTGGGATCTGATCCCACGGATCCTGATCTCGGATCCGTCGGGATCATAGATCTGGCTTTTTTAATTTATCGAGAGATCCGTAGGGATCATAGATCCGAGTCTAGTATTTTTGCTTGAGATCCAGTGGGATCATAGATCCTCATTTATTTTTGGTCAACACAGAAATTCCAAAAGAGCACTCGTTGCAACTCACAAACGTTCTTATTTAGTGATTTTATGTGACAACACGTCATAATCCATAGTTTTATGGCTTTTATTGACATAGAAACGCTTGGAAAAACCTGGGCCCAATCTTACCAATGCCGTGAATAGGCAAAATGCCGTGAATGGAGCCCATTCACGGCAACGGCATATTACCAATGCCGTGGATAGCTATTCACGCCATCTCATTCACGGCATGCGGTCGATGTTTATCCACGGCATTTTTGCAGTGCTTTAACATGGGCAGTGGCACAAGCTGCCGTGAGAGCGGCAGAACAAACGCAAATAATCAGCTGTTTGCGCTGCCGGTGGCCGTTCCATTCACGCCACCTTTTAGTGCCGTGAATGGCGGGGGTTGTTAAAGGGATAGGTCGCTGGGAGGATGTTACTATGCAATATTTGACACTATTCTTTTTTTCTAAGTTAACAATTCTTCATATAATGCCCTTGACATCTTAGAGCGACGATTACACGCATAGTGATTATTTCAAAAACATGTATTTTCCAGGGATAAAATCACACTCAAATCCATAAAAATAAACATGTTTATTCATTATATTGTCTTATTTTTCAAATCCATACGAGATCGTGGAGACGATTTTAGCATCCGGGCCCAATCATACCAATGCGCCAAACCTATCTATATATGCTATAATGTGGGTGTTTCAGTGTTCACCCCGTCCGGACGTCTCACAAACATCCTTCATAATTTCTAAGTAAATATTAAAAGCAATCAAATACCGTACACTTGTCAAACAAGTATCAGCACTCACAATGCATATTTTAACACTTTCTGTCTGGCACAGACAGCTACGGAGCATGCTGTCTTCATGCGTCTCAATCTGACTTCTGAACTGAATGCCTTTTTCTTGATATGTTATGGTTTTGAGATGTAGACGGGTTTCTTCAATATTTTGAGTAATTCCTTTTGTTATCGTGCTCGTAAAAAGCAGCAAATAAGGCTATAGCTTGAGGCTTGAGCTTGCCGGGTGCATATACCCAAAGTTTAAACTTTACGAGCTGCATTTCATATGCATTATTCCAATGTCTTAGAAACAACAGCGGAGCTATCACTAGGTCGTTACTTCAATAATTTTATCTCAAAATTGTTGCAATATCTTAACAGCAAGTAAATAGAAATGATGAGCAGCGAAACAAAGTTGAAATCTAATCCACTCGATTTTCTCAGCCCGAGAATGTCCTCGCGGAAGTTTACTAGGCCAGAGCCCTGTTCGGGTCCGCGCAAAATATTTTGCAGCGTGTGACGGCACACTTGGAATGACGTCAGCCACTGGCTCCGCCCACTCTCCGCCGGGCCGCCAGAGCCGAGGGCCGCGGCAGCCATTATTCGACGCGTGACGAACCGTGGCGCGGATGGACTGGTGGTTTTCGTTCAAAAACTGAATAAAATGCGTTCAAATGTGGTTAATAGCAATGTGCCACTGAAAAAAGTGATCATGATACCCAAAAAACAGCATTCAAACCGCTTACAATAAGAAATATAGGACGGTAAACTTTAATTCGCGCCACTTTCGCCTCCTGCAGCTCCTATTTTCTTGTTGCGCAAAACTGAAAGATTTTGCGCGTGCCGACGTCACACATGTGACGTCATACGCCGAAGGGCGGAGCCTGGCACCCGAGAGACCCCTACTGCGCATGCGTGGTGCAAAATTTTGCAGTAGGATGCGCTGCCCGAACAGGGCTCAGTAATCCGCTTTTCAGGAGAATTCTTTAGGCAGGCTTTAGTTTTTCATAGTTTGCTATCACGCTTTCCACAAATAACTTATCCTTCACACATATGTATGGCTCTAAAACAAATAAACGCCCGACAAAACTTTAAATAGAGAGCTATACTTGTTCACAAGCAATACGCACAATTTCCGATAGCGAAGGTGACAAGAATTGACCAATCACGTTGCGTGTTTTCTGCTGGCGCTGAATTGTACCGTGGGCAAAATGCAGTGAATAGAAATGCCGTGGCACGGCATTGGTGAGATTGGGTAAATGGAGTGCCGTGGATCAGCCGCCGTGGTAGGCATCCACGGCATCTGCATCCACGGCATTGGTAAGATTGGGCCCTGGTTTCAAATGTTGTTTGTGAGTGGTGGGATCCACTCAGATCATAGATCCATGTTCTTGGTTTATCGTCAGGTCCTGTGAGATCATAGATCCAGGATAATTTTTCACGCCGGATTCGGTGGGATCATAAACCCGAACCTCCAATTTGCCTTGACATCCACTGAGATCATAGATCCACCACTCGGATCCATGCACATGTCTGGTTATAACTGTGCGGGGTTGTAAGCGAGATCTGGAAGCGGCACCCTGCACGTGCGCACGTGCAAAATGGGTCCCAACTGACTTTTGCACGGCACCCTGCTAACCGGTCCCTAACCATGTACCAAATTTGAGCGCCATCGGTCCAGCCGTTCTCGAGATCTGGAATCGACCCCTGCACGTGCGCACGTGCAGCAGCACGCCAACTCTGGCACATGGATATGCATTGCCTAGTGGGTGCCTACCTACATGCCAACTGTCAGCGCAATCGGCCAAGTGGTTACCGAGATATTGCAACAATTACAAAAGTGACATCTCTTCGTTTTTCACGTGGCACGTGCATAAGGGGTCACCCACATGCATCGGGAATAGTCCAATACTTGGTAGAAGGAATCAGGGGCGTCGTTTTGTATAGGCCTGGGAGTGCCCGAGCACTACCAATGTTCAGCTGAGCACTACCAATGTGTTGTTGAGCACTACCAACATTTTTCTTCACTTATTGAGAAAATTGCATTCAAACATGTCATACAAATAAAATGAATGAGGTTCTTATGTATAAAATCAACATGATAGCAAGTACAGGGGCGTCGTTTTATATCGGCCTGGTATGGCCCGAGCCCTACCAATCTTTATTTGGGCCCTACCAATGTTCGCTGAGCTCTACCAATCTTTTGACACTTATCAGTTGGTAAGAAAATCAAAATAAACAGATAAGCAAATAAGCATATATGTACTCGTACAGTCGTCACATATGTGTGTGGCCTGGTGGCCGTAGGAGCTGCTGTCGCGAACCCTTTGCAAGCCGGCAGGGGGTTCTTAGGGAACGGCAAGGGGTCCTCACTCCTCTAGCCGGCAAAGGGTCCTCAGAGGCCGGCAGCACCTTCAGAAGTACAGTGGGGTCCTTAGAGAACGGCAAGGTACTCTCAGACTCCGGTGGGATCCTCAGAATTGCCGGTGTGGGCCACGCAAAAGTCACCGGTAGGTGTCCGTCAGATGCACATGTGTGGGGCCTTCAGAGGCGCCGGAGTGGGACCTGCACAGTCGCCAGTGAGGGCCCTCAGCGCCGTTTCGGGGCCCTTGAGATACACTGGTTATGGCTATCACAGATATGCGTGGGCGGTCATCCGCCCCCCCCCCCGTCGGTTCTAAGTTGGTGCGGAGTGTGGACCCCCATTGGTGCGCGGGTTAACGGTGGTTATTTGAATAAATGAACTTTTTGGTCTAATAAGTCGATGCTGTATCTCTCTGCTTCTTCATGGTCGGGCATGTAACTTTCTGAACGCCGGCTCGTACTGTCATCCTTTTATTTTGGCATTGGCAACTTTCAACTTTCTTTCTAACTATCGTGGTGTTTCGAGACCTCGTTAGTTGTCGAACCCTGCAATTGGCGTGGGTTGGGTCTTCAAAGCCGTTACTGGCCCCGCACTCCGCAGCCCTCTTTTTCATTCGGCTTGGGCCACCAAAACCGTTCCTGGCCCCTTTCAGCACAGCCGTGCTTTTAAGTCGGCGTGGGCCTCTTTCAGAGTGGCGTGCATTCCTCCGACACTATTATAACTGCCTATTTAACTGCACGTTTTGTGCATGGAGCTCGGTGAGGACCTAGGCTTCCAAAATGTTTTTTTTTTTAGATTTTGGTTTGTCTTGTCAATGACCAGGGCGAAAAAATAAGTGGCCGAAATCCGATGAGAAAGGCAGATTTGGGGGTACCCTACCTTTTAAGCCCCGTCACACATATGGCCGGCCGCCGCCTTTGGGCCCTACCAATCATTTTCGGAAAACGACACCCCTGGAAGGAATGAAGCTACCCTACAAAAATTACCGCGTGTAAATCGGTCAAGTGGTTGCTGAAATATCTATAAGCGTCGCAAAATCATGACCACGGCCGGCCGGCCGGCCGGCCGCTCATACTCAGAAATTTCCGTTAATCTAAGGAAAGACTCCGCTCGCTTCGCTCGCTCCGTAACTAGTATGTATACCTGTGACTCAACGCTGAACACCGAAGAGCAACGACTGCAGGTCTGCCAGGCGTCTTACCATTGGCGTTTGGGTCTCTGAGTCGCCTTCCTGTAGCGTTTCTCGAGCCTCAGGTAGTGGAAAAACGAGATGAACCGCTGGACAGGGTCCCGGATGAGATTGATGTAAATAGGCTCACTTTGGTTGAACCTGCAATCAAGGAATAGACTGTGAAGTCGACTGGGGTTAGAGTCGAAAGTCAAGATTGCATAGATACACCCCAACTCCCAAATCTGTGCCAAAAAAAAACAGCCATATGTGGATGCCTTCATTCACACCTGTGCTTGCATTTAGCAGTTGTAAGGAAGAGATGGCACGACGATGCAGCTTTATTCTGCTAGCATAAACATGCACGTCAACACTGCCCGCTAGCAACTGCCGTCCCCCGGTCCGGCTATAGCCACCGCCAGAGTGCAGTCTGCTCATAATTAGGAAGGAACCCGACAGACCCCGAAATTTTTCGCGTCTCGCGCCGACGATAACTTAACGCTAGCTTACACATCCGGCGAAAATTGTGTAAAATTCACGGACGATACTGCTGAGTATGGGGTCGGAGTCAAATTTTGACGTCTGAAGAAATAATTGGAGTACTACTGAAATAGATGGATTGGATTGGGAATGACGTTTCCGAGTCTGGAGTCCGAGTTAGAGTTTGACGTCTGCGACTGCGAATCAGACTCCATGACCACACATAACTCTCGACTCCGACCGATCACGACTTCACGACCATTTTCAGAAAACTACCATCAATTTTTCCGACCCGAAAATCTCATCGGATCTGTATCGTTCTCATGGGTGCCCGGTAGGAGGTTGGGGGGGGGGGGCAAGTTGCCTCGCTCCTCCCCTTCCCCATCCCCTTCCCATGACGAGGCTAATGAGCTGAGGAAAAGGTGACCGCCCATTGGTTAGGCGCGTATTCAGCGCACAATCGTTCGGCGCCTATTATAGTGCGCGTTGAAAAGTAGACTGCTATTTCAACCCGTCAGCGCGTAATTCAGCGCCGACCAGCAGATGAGGAATCAGCTGACTGCGCTTCATCGGGCGTTCGGCGCTGAACCGCAGTCGGCGCGCAGCCCATAGACTCCAATGTTAAATTCTTCGCGTAAAGATGCGCGCCTAACCATTGCAGTGGACGATCACCTTAAGTTTCTCAGAAACGTAACCGCGGCCGGCCGCTCAAGCTCAGAAATTTCTTATATTATTTAACCCGCGCACCGACGGGGGTATGCGCCAACTTACAACCGACGGGGGGGGGGCGGATGACCGCCTCCCCCCCACCCCCTGAGATCTCGAGAACGAAGCAAGATAGCGACAAGCGGTAAACGGCATGGGGTACGCACGGACAAGGTCTACAATTTTTACAAAGGTCATTTTCAGGTCAGGTCAAAAATGACGTCACAGGGGTCAAACAAGTCAAAATGGCGGCGCTAGATGTGGAGAGTTTTTCTCGAATAACTTTCGAGCTAGTCAAGCTAGGAACAAACTAAGGGTATCATCGTGATCTTCTCGTCAATTCGCATCGAATTATATATATGTTGACCCCGAAACGTCAAGGTCAAAGGGTGACGTCAGGTCACGTGACCTCGAGACCTGTATCTCGGTCCTGTAAAGACGTTAATGGCAAAAAAAACGTTGGTGACCTTTGATGACGTCACTTGACCTTACAACTGCCCAAAAGCAAAACAGGCCTCAAGGTAGTGAAGGTTGATCGTGTGTGAAGTCATGTATGGTATATGGGGTCATTTCGACGCGTTTTAGTGAAAAAAAAACTGGGAGTCAATTTTTCCTCCATTGACTTTTAATGGGGGGTCGAGAAATTGACCTGACCTTAGGTAATCGATATCAAAATTCCGAGATATACAAATTGTAGCTACCAACGACCTAATAACATCCTTCGACTTTCAAATGCCTCCGTCATCTACTGACACGGTGACAAAGTTGCAAAAAGTGACTTGAGGCTGGGTCATCCAAAGTGACCTGGTGACCTGACCTTTATAGTTAGGAGGTTCAAACTTTCACACCATGTGTAAAATTGATGGGAGAATAGTCATACTAAATTTCGCGGCGCTACACGCCGAGGTTTTCCCGCTATTCACGAAAAACTTCAGGGAGGGGTGGATAACCCCCCCCCCAGAAAGTGTGCGGGTTTAAAGACTCTTCGCCTGCTCCCTCGTTAAAAAGGAATGTCTGAAAAACACCCTCTAAAGATGCATATGTAAATACATGCGACGTATCGCTGATGAGCTGAGGTCACAAAACGTACCTCTGGCGCTTTCCCTTTAGTCAGAAATGGGGTCGTTTTGTAAAGGAATGTGGTGCTTAGGATGTCGGCGCCATTCTTGGTAAACGAATTGGCGCCAGCTAATACCTAAAGAAAAAGAAAAACTCATGAATGGTGCCAATGCAGGCTGACGACTTTAACCCGCGCCGGGCCAGGGGGGGACGTTTGAACACCCCCCCCCTGCGGTTTTTACTTTTTAAGCACACCTGTTCGTCCATCTTTTCCGCACATGTTAAAATTTCAGACCCAGGTCGCCTTAGGTCAGGTCACCAGGTCACGCCAAGTGACCTCACCTCAGAAAAAAAATCAGAATGCTCGTCATAGCTACACCAATTGATCGATTGCCTTGAAACTTTCAGCGATTGATTAGAGCAACATTATCTATAAAATGTATATCTCGGAAATTTGATATCGGTGACCTAAGGTCAGGTCAATTTTGCGGCCTCTCCATTATAAGTCAATGGGAGAAAATTGAAAAGCGTCTGTTTTGCACGAACGCTATTCTAGACACTCTCAAACATCGAGATGTAGGTAACATTGACACACTGAACCGGAAAATGGCAACTGTGACCCCTCGTTATGTCCCCGAGGTCATCTCAGGTCACGAACAGAATCTAACAGTTTTTCGCTAATAAGTTCTGATAGAGGCGTGCTAGAGCGCTGAAAACGCCTTAGATGTGTTCGGCTCGACGTTGCGGATCGACTGATATGCAACATGACCTTTTCCGGTCAGGTCATGACCTTGACCTGAGGTCAAATTTTCAAGTTGACCTTTCAAGGTCAAATTATAGTTCATTCGACGCGTCTTGACGAGAGGAACACGATGCTGGCAAAAGTAATGTAATGACTTTTTTTTAGTCAAAAGTTATTGCCGAAAAAACGCTTTTCGTAAAAACGGCTATTTTGGGAGTTTTTGCCCTCTGGAGGCTAAACCGTTGACCTGAGGTCAAATCTGAGGACATTATCCAGAAAGGTCTGTAAAAGGGCTATCGAATGCGTTTTTCCGCGGCGCTGTAGCTCTATCGGTTCCCGAGATAGCCCTTGGCAGTTTCCAAAATGTTGAAATAGTCAACATTTTACCTTTGGTGACCTCTGCCCTCTGGTGACCTGACCTTTGACCTGACCCAAAAAATGACCGAAGTGTTTTCGTCCTTATTTTGGACGTTCTTGCGGTTGCCGCTTACCGCGTGTCGCTACGTGGCCCAGGAGCTGAGTTAGAAGGGGGGGGGGTGTTCAGACCCCCCCCCCCCGGCCCGGCGCGGAATCTCAGAGCACCGGCCCGGCGCGGGTTAAGGGAGAAGCAGGGAACTTGCCCAACCTAAATCCGACGCAGAAACTGCGGAGATTTTTCTGCAGGAGCTTGAAATTGAGACGCCTTTTATAAGCCTCCGACAGCTGACGGTACGACTTAACCGGTAACTGCAACCATTTATGGGGATAGGTACAGCAAAGGGCTTGGCTTAGAGCACATCGAGCTATGCAGTTGTCGAAGCAATAGGTATTTTTGTGCAGTGTACACATAAGCATCAAAGCCTAAGATTTTTGGCTAGTTTTCATATGCTTTATCGGCATGGAAAGTGTCAACGAACTTACTGGATATCCCGTAATTGCAAGAGATTGGCGCAATTTTGCGGACAATTTTTACAAATCAATATTTGCAAACGTTAACAGAACAATGCTGTACTCACTCGGTGAAGTCAACATAGTAGACATGCCGATCAAATACCACAGGTTTCTTCTTGGACTGCTTGATAAGCTTCTTGATGATAGCTAGTTGATCGGTATCATTTAGATATCGACGAAAATGAACGTCTGAACTTGATCTAATGAACTTCCGGTTATTCTTAGCAAGTCTGAAATAGTGCACAGATTAATCAATGGATGACCTTTTAGAGCACATACATATTAACCCGCGCATTGCGTTGTCTACAGAGCGCCCTCGCGTTTTCTGCGATATGTTCTAAACCGCTAAACTTGTCAACACCAAACTTGGAGTATTTTGGCTACCTCATTTTTTCGTGGAACCGCCTATAATCCACCTCTTGTTCACTTGTGAACATGTCATACCTGCAAATAATGTTAACCCTCGCCGGCACAGGGGGCGAGGGTTAACACGGCACTGCGGCACTGCGCGTGTTAACACGCGCAGTGGAAGGGGGGGGGCGGATTTCGCCCACCCCTCCTGTTTTTCGCCAATAACTCACGCCGCAAGCATAATATCAATGTGAAATTTCGGCTACCTGTCCAGAATTGAATTGCGGATCCTCTCGTGCAAGAAGTAAGAAAATCGGTTCACAACTTTTCTAGTAATAGCGGTGTAAAGTCAAACATCCTGCCGCCGCGGCGGCGCGGCGGCGCGGCGGCCGGCGCTAGCCGTTACGCGCCGCCTGAATTGTAGACTGTGCCGGGGCGGGACGGTTCCGTCTTTACATCGCGCTCCTTACCGCTGATTATATTCGATTCGCGTCAAATTTGGTGAGAAGACTAAGAAATGTACAGGCAATCTCATGGTCAAAGAATTTTGAAAATCGGCCGGTAACAACTTGAGTTATGAGTGTGTAAACACAAAATTGTGATTGCCGCGTTTCCCGCGTCGGCCGATCCCGCTTCAGCCGGCGATATCTTACTCTTAGCAGGCTTCTAGCTGTCATATTTATTGTTGGATTAACTAGAAATTCACCATACATACTCACAAATGTATGGTCTTTCGTATAGTGAAAGCAAAAAGAAAATCGGCCGGTAACTTTTTGAGTTATCGGCGTGTAAGCGCAAAAAAGTCGCTAATATGGCAGATTTGACCACATTTGACCTCATTTGACCTTGAAGATATTGACCTAGGGTCATGAAATTCACACACAACAGAGATTCCCAAGGCCTTCACCTACCCTCCATATTTCGTCTTCCTAGCTCCACTGGGAGCTGAGATCTTAGGGGGGGGGCGACATCCGCCCCCCCTTCCACTGGGCGTAGTACTCGCAACCCTTCCACTGCGCGTGTTAATATTGTTTAATGGGACTTCAAATGTTTTAAATCAAACTTAATAAGCCTCTTAACCCGCGCACCGTTGGGGTCTGCTGAGCAACGCGTCCCGTTGGGGGGGGGGGCAATTTGGCCCGCTAAGATCTCAAGAACCACGCAAAATAGCGACAAGCAGCAAACGGTGTTGGATAGCCCCAGCAGGGAACTACCTTGTCACCTAATTTTATTGACCTAGGTCAAACTGATGACGTCACAGGTCAGGTCAAATGTCGAATTTTCACCGTTTACAGGCATTTCAAGAAATGCGTTGTAAAATGGAGTAAAATGCATTTCATTGAAAATCATCGATAGGGAAATGTTCGTCAAACACATATTTTGCTGTTTGAAGTCACTGATACCAGGTCAGGTCACAGAGTTCAGGTCACTGAGGGTCACAGTATGAAAATATTATGTGATGCATGGTTTATGGTCCATTTTATATGCCAGCGATTATGTGGGTCAGGCAGCCTTTGGGGTCAGTTAAGATTATGTTTTGGTGAAGGTCAGGTCAAGGCCAGGTCAAGGTCAGGTCAAATTAGATCAAGTTTCAAAGTTGATATTTTTGCATAAAATGAGTACTGATTTGATGCAGCTCGTCACGGGGAGTTCAATTGTGTTCTATCATTTTGCGCTACGTGGTCTAGAATTGCTAAAAATTGAGTTCAAAAATTTGCTTCATTAATTTTGAACATTTTTTCGCTATAACTTAGCCAAAAAAGGAGGTATCGATGTAAAGTTTGGTATTTATATAGAAAAGCGCAGGGGCTATCACATGTATTCCAGTTTTTTCAAAATTCGGAGAAAAAATGGGAGTTTTGCGTTTTCTAAAAAATCGCCTTATTGATATTTTAAGGGTCAAAATCTGAAAATTTTGAAAATCTGAGATAGAAGTTTTGTAGCGCCGTCTTTTGCCTACATGACCATATAAAGAACTTTGACATTGCTTGGTAACGGTAGCTTGTGTGAGCGTTTCAAGATTTCATCAATTTCATGTTCTTTAGCTCATTTTTGCTCGGACATGACCTCAGTTTGACCTCAATAGCTCCTGACCGAAGGTGACCTAAGACTTGAAATTTTGTGTGAAGGTGTCAAATGCATGGGCCAGGAAGGTACTGAAAATTTGGCGGCGCTGCGCGCCGCCGTTTCCTTGCTATTCAGGAAAACCACAGGGGACCAAATTGCCCCCCCCCCCCAGCGGGGCGAGAGTTAAAATGAACTTAACCCTCGCCCGCACATGCCATTTTCACATCCTAGAACGCACATGGGGGGGGGTGGTTGCCACCCCCCCCCGCGCCGTTTCGTTCCTGTTGGAGATAGAGCTTAGCGGCAAAGACCAAAAAGATTCTTTGGTTAGAGACGAATCCAATGATACCCGATTTTACCTTCTCAGGTCAGTCATTGACCTTCCAGGTCAGGTCAAACTAAAAACTGTTGCTGTTTTGGGTCACCGTTGGATATCAAGTGCGCTGCTTATCATATACCGATGACGATGCCGTTTTCTGGTGCCAAGCCAGCTAGAACCTCTTTGTCACACTACCCGACCAGATTTTTGCTGCTGAGGTCATTTCAGGTCAAGTTAGGTCAAGGTCAGTTATATGTGTTTGTATGTCTGTGTGTGTCTGTGTGTATACTGATGTGTGCACCGATTGTTTTTGTGTCCATATTACATGAAATCATGATCTGAGAAGCTTTTACCAAAAATGCAGGCAAAAAAAAATTCACAAAAAGTAAATTCAGCTTGCCTAAAACGCAATTATCTTAGATGACCTAGGTTGACCTTGACCCTGACCTTGACCCCTGTACATCGTCGAAAAACATGTTCCATGATAGGTGGGAGGTAAGACTGGCAAAAAAAGCCGAAATTAAGGTGTCAAAAGCTCACAAGGCCCATGGCAAACGCAAGATGTTGAGAATTGGCCATTTGGGTCATGACATGACCTGACAAACAAGGTCATATCTCCGAAACCAAAAATCAGAGAAACTTGAAATTTTTAGTGGACATCAAGAAAGGATAGAGGAGCATCTATACCAAAAATCAGCTCTCTAGCTCTAAAAATGTTGAGTGCAGAGCAGAAAGACTACCTGGGGGGGGGGGTGGCAACCACCCCCCCCCCCATGTGCGGGCGAGGGTTAACATATTTTATTATATGAATAATAATATGAATTTTTCATGATTTAAATCAAATGTTCCTAAGGTTATATTGAACTTCATAAGGTAAAAAAGGTGCAGTTGAAGAGATCTCACAAAGACATTCTGTAAATTTTATAAGCTGGGGTATTTATATTAAGTTCGATTTCGGGGTGAGTACTGCGCTAAAGCTATTTCTTGATTGTCAAACTCATATTGTTCACACAAGCCAAATATCTCCAAAAATGCGCACGCTATCTTCTATCCTTCAGCGTAGACAAGACGGCGTTCCTTACCTCTTGATTAGTGCGTTGAGCGAGGAGCTGCCACATTTATCTACTCGGTTGTAGAAAACGATACGGGAACTCACTGTACGATTTTGTCCTCTTGTTTTTATGAACCGTTTCCAAGATATATCTGAAATGAAATAAAAACAGCATTTAAGTCACATGCCAAGACATATAAGATACAAGGCTCACGTAGTCGGGTAAACATCCATTCAGAGTTGGTAAAAAGTACCGAAGTTCAGCGGTAGGTAATACCGGAGCTGAGCCAAAGGCTGCTAAGCGCGAAACTCAAGCACCATGCGGCCATGGCTAATACCTACAAATGCAACGAAGCTGTAACCGCGGGTCTGTATGATAACTTCTTTTTTTTCTGCATGATACGAAACGTCGTGCTTTCTAGACAGCAGATAACAGATGGGAATGATCGTTACTATGAAGAATTCATGAATGTCGAACGCGCCATAGTGCATGCAGGGATAGTGAGTATGTAGATGTACCCATAGAGTACATATATGTACATACATACGTACTTTTGTAGGTCGTGAGTGATAGTCACCCGCTGCACTGCAACTCACGGGGCGCCTCTAGTCTGCAACTCACGGAGCCTGCAACAGGAGCCTCAACGCGATGTGTCTTCTTCAAATATGTATATTGAATTTCGTGAAAATTGTGGATAAGTGTGAATTGCAAATATCAACAGTGTTGTACGAAATGTGCGAACGGTGTGCAGCTGTGTTCTCATTAGAGATGTCAGCCTGATACCAACTTTTTGGTAGACCGATACCAAACCGAATACCGACTTGGTGTATGGTATTTCCATCCTAATGTGGTTGGTATTTTGTTGGTATCATGGATCCGCGCTAATGTATAAAGGGCTGTGACTTTGGGGTAAAAAGTTGGTATTTCCATCATATTTACTATTATAGTTTGTTCGATTTTGGTATTTTCCTGCTGTTTTGGTTGGTATTTGGATCGGTAACGATATTCATATTTTCTGTAACTGACATCACTAGTTTTTGTCTGCGTCTCTGTCAAAACCCTTCGTAATTCCCACTTTTTGTGGTTGTCGGGTGAAACGAAAAATAAAATCACCAGGTCACGTTAAGTGACCTCACCTAAGACATAGTTAGAATGCTGGTCATGGGGACAAGTATTGAACGATCGCCTTGGAACTTTCGGTGATTGATAAGAGAAATGTAAAATATATGTATCGACTGATTGCAGCAATATAACACAGCAGTGCGTGCGTTCCTGTATACATATAGCTGCGCTAACCTTGGCTGCGGTCCGGGTCGAGCTGCTGCTGCGCGACTTCTTCAGTAAGCGGCGGCAAATTGGCTGGCTGCCACGGCATGTCACTGTAGGTGTAAACCAGCAGCACCAGAAAGAACCCGCTGGCCATAGACAGAACAGCTGTGCACCTGAAATGGAGACGCACAAATATAATCAGGGAGCAATTTCGGAATTCCGTTGGACGCATGCCATAAGTAAGAAAAGAGTCCATTGACAAACTTGTGGAACTTTCCACGACTCGTATGTGATTTGTATGTTGGTTTACGAAGTGATTTCCTTATGACCCATTTACTTCATTCCGTGAATGGATATCCCTCGCCGGCACAGGGGGGGGGTTGGTTGGTGCAACCCCCCTAAGGTTTTTCGCGAATAACTCGCGTAAGAAGCGGCCGATTGCGACGAAACTTTCGGTATCCTCGCATTGGTCAATTTTACACCTACCCTGAAAATTTCATGACCCTGACCCAAATGACCTTTGACCTGTGACCTCTTTTCCGAGACCATGTTTGGCCGGAATCGCGATTCGGCGTATGTCGGCTCGCATTAGCCGCGCGTTTGCAAACTTTTCGTGGTTTCAAACGTTCAAACATGTGAGTTGATGTTGTTCCCATGCATTAGGGTGGGTGTCAAGGTCACCTGAAGGTCAGGTCAGGTCATTTGCCTTTGGTGACCTCGGTTCACTTTTTCGAGTCTTACGTGTTTCTAGGCTAGGTTTTGGAGCTGAATTCGAATTGAGTAACCATTTGAACATTTACTAAATAGTTTTGGTGCCTTCGTAATATGTTACGAAGCTGTCAGAGGCGGATGACAGGTACTACGAATACCCGTCACGACCCCTACCGGTTGACGACCTGACCTGACCTGACCCGACCTGGTCTAAACGCTTAACGACATCATCTGTGATCAAAACTAACACGATATTCGTGATAAGCACCCCGGAAAACCCCTTAGCAGACGCCCTTTACGACTTTCTAACATGCTCCGATATTCCCGATTTTTGGGTCATTGACCTGACCTGGAAGGTCAACCGATGACCTAGGACCTTAAAATTGGGTATAATTGGCTTCCTCTCGTGACGGGCAACACGCTCTTTTTTCCGCGAAGCTCTAGCTCCATCATGGGCCAAACGCGAAGGGGGGTCGCATCCCCCCCCTTGTGCCGTCGAAGGACTCAAAATGGCCTCCACAAGCTAGCTGAGTCGGTTTTCTCTGTCAGATTTTGCAGGTTGGTGGTCATCGTTGCGTCACAAACAGGCCACTCTGCACTGGTCAGTAGTCACTGTCCCGCTACTGCCTCTAGACTGACACCGCGACTGGCAACCAGCACCAGGCAGGCACCGCGACTGATAGATACCGAACAGCGCCAGGGAACCATATGGCGGTCGATAACAGAATTCGCACAGACCCCGCGCTACCTGCCCATGCGAGCATTTCCGTGGGCCAGGAATTCATCATTCAACTAGTAGCATAGTGAACAGGTTTTGCAAAAGATGAAATAAATACGTGCATATATCTCGCATAATTAACCGCAATTCAATCCTTTCACGTGGATAATATGTACATAACTGAACTGAAATACTATTGAGCGATTACATTCCTTCCTTTCCATTAGGAGTATTGATGTCAATTACAGAAAATTGGAATACCGATACCAAACCAAATACCAACCAAAACCGTGGAGAAATACCGAAATCAAACCAACTTGGGAGCCTCAGAGGAAAATGCCGACCTTTTACCGATTTCTTAGCCTCTTAAACATTAGCGAGGGTTCATGATACCAACAAAATACCAAACACATTAGGATTGAAATACCAAATACCGAGTTGGTATCGGTTTGGTATCGGTATTCGGTATACCAAAAAGTTGGTATCCGATTGACATCTCTAATTAGGAGTACCGAAATGTGAATAGTCGGAAGCATGCATCAGTATTAGTGATGCCAATTACAGAAAATCGAATTACCGATGCCAAACCAAATACCAACCAAAACCATCAGGAAATACCGAAACCGAACCAACTTGAGAAGACGAGGATAATACCAACTTTTTACCGATTTTTCAACCGTGTATACATTAGCAAGGGTTCATAATACCAACAAAATACCAAACACAATCGGATCGAATCGAAAACGTAAAAAGTACCGAAGTTTGACGACGGTTTAGGTACCTGGCAAATGCACCACAATGACAAAATCTATACAAATCTCTTATGCAGAAAATGATTTCATTTTTTCAAAGATGCTTGTTCAGAGTGAATTAAATTAAATATTTCACAGAAGAAAAATATTTAACCCGCGCACCGACGGTGGTCCGCGCCAACTTAGAACCGACGGGGGGGGGGGCGGTTGACCGCCTATATATATATATATATATATATATATATATATATATATATATATATATATATATATATATATATATATATATATATATATATATATATATATATGTATATATATATATATATATATATATATATATATATATATATATATATATATATATATGTTTGTGTATTTTGGAAGCAGATTGTTCTATAGACACTGATCATTGAATGTGACAGCAGCTTCATTGTTGATTATCTTCCTTGATACACCTTCGATGTGTCGAACTAGCCGTTTGTTTTCGGGTGAGAATCTGCTTAGAATGGAAGCGAAACTCATAATTGTAAAGAATGTCGGTATCATACACTTCATGGTTTTCTGTATTTTACATATGTCGACGTTTCGTCATATCTAATGACATTATCAAGACTAAATACGTTGCATGACATTACAATTATAGGCAATCAAGTAACACCGGTCATGGTACACTTAATCATCATTATCAGTTAGATACAGGCAGCAAATTACAGTAAATCCCCAGGGCAATGCGAATATCGCGCAAGAAGAAAGGAGACAAAATACCTAAGCCGAAAAACAAAAAAAACAAAAACATAACGTGCTTACATTGAACACGAACTTCTAACACGTCACCTCGCAAATGACAGCCCTGTTATATGAACCACTAAATCACCTGGCGCCTAGTGGTGCTCCCTCATAGAGGGCCAAGGTGCCCCTTGCATTAACTTGTCGGTTAATGAGCGGGTCCCGATCACGAATGTAAACGGCTTCCAGGATGTGTAGCCGTCGAACGTCTGAGCATTTGTCGAGGATGGAAGTGTTTTTGGTCATGTCCTGTCTGGTTAGTCTATGTCCGTGGTGAGTGTCACTGTGAGTTTTTGGGCCTCCACTTTGCAAATGCATCGTAATGCGCCGACTAAGTGAGGTTGTTGTCAGTCCAATGTAATTACAGTTTGGTCGGAGCGCACAGTCTCCAAGGGTGCATTTGTAACTGTATATTACGTTGGTCTGTTTCAAGAGGTCTGTGTCACGCGTCGGATTGTTTTTCATCAGAAGTGATCGGGTGGTGGGATTTTGGTAGAAAATGATCAGTTGCAGTTGGTCACCTTGTGTCACTGGTCTACAGTGTCGCCGTACTATCGACCTCAAAACTCGCTCGTCCGCTTTGTAGGCCGGTGACATTGTGTTCTTGTAGAAAAGTTTATGGACACTAGCGTCTTGTACAGGGGTCTGCCGTCCTTGTGTGTACACTGTCACTGCGTCACGTATGTGTTTGTCGATTGCTAGCACAGGGTAGTTGTTATTAGTCAAAATCTGTTTTACTCTTCCCATCTCTTTATGGACGAGCTCCCATGTCGAGCAATGAGTCAGAGCCCGTCTCACATATGCCTTGATCACACTGTCCTTGTATCTGTCGGGACATTGGCTGGCCCCGTTAAGGCACCTCCCCATGTCGGTTGGCTTCCGGTAAACCGTAGTCTCATAGGAACCACTGCTCCCATCAAGTGAAACGTCAAGGAAGTTAATTTTGCCCTCGTCACTGACTTCATCATCATCATCATCATCATGTATTCTTATGTTCGTCCACATTCGATGGCTTTTCGGAACAAGTGTCAGGTTTACATAAAATCAGGTACCTATTAAAAGTAAAATATGCAGCATAAAAGTAAGATTGCACCCTACACTAAAAATATTAAAATACACATGAAACACGCCTAAAAGTTATCAACACCATTTAAAAAAAAGTATCAGTGTCCTATTTAGGTGGAGGTCGTCAGCCACTTTCTCGCCCTCCTCCGACAGACTCTGGCAGAGCGGGACTCTCTCACTTCCGCAGGAGCGCGGTTCCAGAGTGAGACAGCACGACAAAAGAACGACTTCCGTGCGTGTTCACTGCGCACTCGAGGGATCTGCAGCGAGCCGGCTAGAGAGCCCCTCGTGTCCCTGGTGGAGACGTCACTGCGGTGTGCGATTTGGGCATTGTAATGTCATGCAACGTATTTAGTCTTGATAATGTCATTAGATATGACGAAACGTCGACATATGTAAAATACAGAAAACCATGAAGTGTATGATACCGACATTCTTTACAATTATGAGTTTCGCTTCCATTCTAAGCAGATTCTCACCCGAAAACAAACGGCTAGTTCGACACATCGAAGGTGTATCAAGGAAGATAATCAACAATGAAGCTGCTGTCACATTCAATGATCAGTATATATATATATATATATATATATATATATATATATATATATATATATATATATATATATATATATATATATATATATATATATATATATATATATATATATATACATATATATATATATATGTTACAGGGAGTATGCGATTTCAGTTAGTTTGCAACGACCCTAGGGTGGTTGTAACCTCCCTGAACGATCAGTTTGTTTGCAACGACCCTACTGTGGACGTCAAACCGCGTGGGACGCGACTTTTTCGCAATAACTTTTGAATGCGTTGCCTCCCAAGAACGAAACTTCGGCAATGGACGTTTCAGACCCCGGCCTAATTTTTATTACTAAGGTTTTTCAATGTCCGATCAATATTTAGGGCACTTCCCGTTCACTCGTAATGTTAAATTTTGCTCCTGAAACTCTCTCGGTGAGCAGAGGCTACTCCACAAGGGGCGGAGCCATAGTGTGACGTTGGAGCTAAGCTCCGCCTCGGCTGGCCGTTGCCTGAGGCGCTACCTGACCCGAGACCGGTCAGTCGCGGTCCGTAGGGGTTGGTACGCGGTGCTTCCTGAATGAATGCTCAGCTG